GCTATCCAATCCACTTACTTGGACAAAGTACTAAAAGTGGGGGTGAGAGCATGCAATTGAAGATAATTACAGTTCTTCTAGGTTAACTTAGAAGTTGGGGTTATGTCAAATTGGTGCTTGTAGCAGCCACTTCTCAAGTTGTCTGGAGAAAGTGCATTTTAAGATAAGAAGAAAATGGAACAGAGCTATAGAGACCAAGGGTGGACAGAGAGAGACGAAGACACAGAAAGACAGGTTGCCAAGCCTAAACTTCTGATTCCTACAGGCCTTTATAATTCTGTGTATCATTGCTTTATCTTTTCTATCAAAATGGGACACTAAACTTAAACATGGTTAAGTTTAGGTTTAATTGTGTTTTTGTAACTTACAACTACAGAAGTCCTAGTTAACATAGGCCCTGTGACTGTGGATGAGACATAATTGCCAGAAAGGGTGGTCAGTGAAACAATGAGACTCAGTTCCTAATGACGACTCATGAAAGTGAGCAAGAAGATAATTAGAAGATCAAGTCGGAAATAGCATTTTAATTTATTTTGAAAAACCATTAATATTTGAAAAACCTTTGCCCACGACAATCAATTATGTAGCTATTTCTCAAAAATTAGTCAAATACGCTTGTGGTTCGTGTAGTGGAGCGCCAGCCAAATAAAGAAGGCGTTACAGTCAGAAAGTGGGAACGAAAGGCATCAGCTTGATTGTCCTGGTCAGTTATGCTTCCTTAGGTTTGCAAAAGGGAAGAAAAGGAACGAAGTGACGTTAGGATGAACTGCCACGACATTTTTGGACCCTTGAAGCATCTTTGCAAAGCTAGGCACGATGGCACATTTCTTTAATCCTAGTACCTGGAGAGATGAGTTTGAGGACAGTCTGGGATACACAGCAAGACCTTCCTCACCCCAACTAAAAAAGAAAAAGAAAAAAAAGCAAAAAAGAAAAAAGGAAAGAAAAAAACTAAAGAGGAAAAATTGCTTGGAGTTAGCTATAGTTTATTGTTTCTTAACTGAGTAACACACCGTTTGTGTTGAATGAATTAGCCATTGTCAAAGTTGTTGATTGTGGAGGAGGGAACCAACTTAAGAAGTCTGTAATTTACCATTTTATTATCAAAGCAACAGTATCTTTTAAAGAATCATAGATAAGAGTTTCCTCTTGCAGATATCTTTCAAAAATATTTGCATTAAAGTATTAATATTTTGTCAGAGAAAGTGAAATATAAATAAAATGCCCAAATATTTTAATATTAACATATATTCAAAACAATAATTGAACATTCTCTTACTGTGTAATACAGTAACACAAAGTCTAGGTTAGAGACCTGCAAATATCCTATGATAGAACAATTTGGCAAGTAAGTGATTTTATTAGGGCAAACAATAAGACTGTCAATGTCATGCATTAATAATTTACTTTAAATTATTGTGTGACTATCCTTTTAGTAACATATGGATTCCACAGTACTTTTGTTTTATAACCTCATTCTTAAAAATTCCAGTGGCTTGTTTTCTTGTATTTCCCTTAATTGTGGTGATCTTAAACAGATCTTCAGTTTTAAATCTGCCAGTTGTTCTAATACAGATGCATAAATATATTTTCTCCAGTTGGCTCTTTATTACAAAGAAAGCTTGTTTGTGGGCACCGTCGAGACATCTGCATCTTATTGGATTTAATTTTTAGTAATAAAGACCTCCCACATTATACATTCTTTCCAGCCTAAATTTGCCTGTGTGGGAAGAAAAAGAACTGTCAGTCAAAGAGAAAAAAGTAAAGCCATATGCTGTGGAGGATTCAGCTTCCTTGACTACAATGAAAAGGAGTTGTGTATATAGACAGTGTCCCAGCAGATCTCAGTTTTAATTTTTTTTCTCAAAAGGCTTGCTACTGTGATCTGAATGCTGGTACCCCTTCAAATTCAAATGCTGAAACTCAATCAGCAATATAACAGTATTTAAGAGGGAGAGAGAGGCCTTTAGGAGGGTTCTTCTATGGAATTAAAACACTTATTGAAAAGGCCTGAGGGAACTTGTTTGTCCTCCTTCCCCTTGGACCATCTGAAGGCACGAGAAGATACCATCTATGAGGAGCGGTTTCTCTTGCAAGATCCTGGATCTACTGAAGCCTTGATTTTGGATTTCAGAGCTTTCCAAGATTAGCAATAAATATGCTGTTTATAAATGACCCAGTCTGGCTGGATGTGGTGGCACACACCTTTAATCCCAGCAGAGGCAGGCTTAGCTGTGAGTTTGAGGCCAGCCAGATATACATAGCTCCAGGATAGCTAGGGCTTTGTAGAGAGACCCTGTCTCAAAATAAAACAAAACAAAAAACAAAAGAAAAAAATCCCACTCCTCCCCCCAAAAGCCCCAAACAACCAAAAATATAAATGAATCAGTCTAAGGTATTTTCTCCTAGCACCTATGACTGGCTAAGACACTTGTTATACTAGCAAGGGTAGGTACGCCCTAACCCAGTCCTCTCGATGCATCCTGGTTTATTGTGTCTGGTGAGCTATGGCTGCTTGGCTACAATTATGCACAAACGTCCTTTTTGCCTCGCTCATGCTCTGTTGTTCCCACATATATTCCCAGGCTCTGGCTCTAACATTCTTTTCCGTTTTGAGGTTCACCTCTACCCCTTTGTTTATTGGTTTCATAGTCATCTACGGACTTGGGCTCAAGTTACGAAATAGAACACTAAATCCATCCAAAATAGTCAAAACATATTATCTGTAGCTTTAGAAAGATAACAAACAGAAGAGGCCAACACAACTTGAACTGATAATAGACTTTTCATTTCTTCAAGGCCAGGCAAAATATTCCCTATGCAGAGGAAAAGAATGGAAAACTTGGTTGGCAGGAAGATCCAGGAACAGCTCATTTCTCTGGGTCAATGCCAACAACAGGATGAGGAGAGAACTGGACACCACACACTCCATTATTAGTGAGCTTCTTCCCTCAGCACAAACAAGAATGATCCACTACCTTCCTTGTATTGCTATGAGCTTCTCATTAACCTCTAATTTCAGTCAGAGAAAAGTTGCCTTTAGAATACTTTGTGTCTATTTAAATTAATGGGTAAGTTTAAATTTGGTTTAATAAACTTCTTACTTGTTGTGGGGGCTACAAATACTGCTATGGTTTAATCTTTAAAACTTTCTAACATTTTACATTCTCTGAGAAGACTTCTACATCCTTGCCTCTGGCATCTACGGATGAGACTGTATCTGGAAGTCAGCTCATTGCAGATGTAATTAACAAGAGGTCATTTTTCAATAGAGTGGGCCTTAATCCAATGGCTGGTGCCACATTAGAAGAGGAAATTTTGGACAAAGCGACACACGGAGAATGTCACGATAGACGCAGAGGTTGAAGTGACATGACTAAAGTTATGGAATGCCAAGGAACACTGGCAATCCTAGAAGTTATGAAGCATGAGGAAGGATGTCTATGTCCTTGAGAGAAAGCAGAGTGATGGAGGATTCCCCTCTGTATGCTGTGATATGGTTTATTACCATTGCTTAATAAAGAAGCTGACTTGGCCTATGGCAGGGCAGAATAGAGCTAAGCAGGAAAACTAAACTGAATTCAGGGAGAAAGAAGGCAGAGTAAGGAGATGCCACACAGCTGCTGAAGGAGAAAGACACCAGAACCTTACCAGTAGGCCACAGCCTCATAGTAAGACACAGACTAATAGAAATGGGTTAAGATGCAAGAGCTAGGAATATGCCTAAGCTATTGGCCAAACAGTGTTATAATTAATATAGTTTCTGTGTGATTATTCGGGTCTGGGTGGTCAGGAAATGTACGAGCAGTCTCTTTCAGTCTTGCCAACACTTTCACCTTTCGTCTCAGACTTCAAGCTTCCAGACATCTGTTGTTTAAACGATCCATTCTGTGGTAATTTGTATGGCACTTCTAAGAAAGCAGTATACTACTTAACTATTAGTTAAGGAAGCAGAAATATGAACAATAATTATAATGGAGGGTCAGAGATCTATGAACATAAAGAAAGGAGACATACCTTTCCAAAAATATCATGGACAGTAATTCTTAGAACAGCAGTTTATCTATGTACAAACTTCATAAGCTATGTGTGTGTGTGTGTGGGGGGGGGGTCTGTGTGGTGGAACTAAGAATAGGAAGTAGGGTCTCAAGCTAGGCCAGAGCTTTACTAGTGTGCCAACTGCTCAGGTCTGACTTTTCTGAATACTATTATTGGCCAGCCTAATCCTCGATCTCCTGATTCTCAGTGAGAGATCCTAGAAGAAAAAAGTGAGGTGGAGAGTAACTCAAGAGGAACTTAGTCATTGACCACTGGCCTACCCAGCTGATGCTTGTGCTTGCCTGGACTAGCCCGCCAAGCCTGATGACTTGAGCTGGATTCCCGGAGTTTACGTAGCAGAAAGAGAATCCCAAAATTGTCTCAGCTCTCTATAAACACACACACACACACACACACACACACACACACACACACACACTTTGGCTCACCCAGAGATCTATTACAAGTGTAACTTCATGTTTCTAATTCGGTAATATTTATGACTTCCCAATTATAACCTATAATTAAAAACAACACGATTAGGCTAAGAGAAAAGACTCATGGGAGCTAGTGCCCTTCCTTCCCTGCCCCCTTTACACTCAGAAACAAGAAGTTGAAGTGTTTTATTCTCCAAGTTTCATTTTGAGTGCACGGAGTTGAAAGACAATGTTTCAGCTCACGAGCTGATCAAACCTCCTTCTGGCTAGAGCATTTGAACAAATACTTGACACTGCTATCTGTCCAGGGACCTCAAATCCTGCAGGTGGTGGAACTGAGGGAATTCTGAGTTTCTGGGTCTGACCAGGCACTTTAACCTCTTCCAGCTTGCTCCCATCTTGGTAGGTTGCTGAAAGGATGCAATAAAATTCCAAAGCGCCGATACACGTACGTGTATTCACGTAGCTAGAGACAGTGCAGAGGCTGATCTTCCAGGGCTCACGCGGGTCCGGAGCGCGCGGGGCGGAGCAGCCGGAAGTGCTGGCGCGCGCTGTCAGCGACGCCGGAAGTCTTGGGCCGGCCTGGCGGTAACCTTGCGGGCTGGGCCGCGTCTCGTGAGGTGGTTTCGCCGTGTCCGAGCGTTGAGTCAGCGAGGCTCGTGAACTGCGTGGGAGCCGCCGAGGTCGCGCGGGAGGGAGCCGAGGGCCGCGGAGCGCAGGCGCGCGTCCAGGGCCTCGCAGCCGCCATGTCTCTGGTGGCGGAAGCGTTTGTCTCCCAGATCGCAGGTAGCCCGCGTGGGCGCTGACGGGCTGGGGAGGCGACGCGGGGCAGCGGCGGGGAGCCGCGTGCGGAGAGGGCCGTAGTTTCCCTGGAACTTGTGGGGGACGAGAGTCCCGAGCCCACAGCCCGGGTGGAGGCGGCCATGCAGGCCTGGCCTCACTTTCCGGATGAGGAAACTGAGGACGCGTGGCCAAGGTCACCCTGCAGGGGCAAAGTGCTGTCCACGCTGCCCCCGCGGCGCTTTGTTCCCCTTCACGGCGGTTTGGGTGGGTGGAGGAGGCCGGGGGTTGGGGTTGCGGTGGGGGCGTGGCCACAGGGCCTTCCCTCCCCAAGGGGCTCTCTCTTGGGGTGCTGGGTTCTCCGTCACTAATGAGCGCCCCTTCTTTACCTGTTGTTGAAATTCTTGCTTCTCCCAGCCATTTGCATAATCTGTAGGATTTTTTGAACTAGTCTTAATTTGCATGAAGTTTAAAGAAAGTAAACACCTTTGACTTGGTGGTCGAACTTGACTGGTAAATAGATTCACAAAAGTTTTTTTTCTTCCTGAGGTTTTTATTTCGGAGAAAGTGAAGGGTTTAAGTTAACGGGATGAACGTTAACTCCAGCAATGTTTTCAACATGAGTACCATAAGGAGCTACTAGGATAAACTAGGAACATTTGACATAAAGTAATGTTTTGGAAATGAAAAGTATAATGTGTCATAACTTTGCCAACTGTATTGAATTTGCCTGAACATAGATTTCTTTTTTCCTTTAAAATATCATTTTATAGGAGAGGGAAGAAGCTAGATCGATTGTAAGCTTCATGAACGCAGGGGAATGCTTGTTTTGTGTGCCCCCCCCCCCCCATCCTAGTACCTGTCGGTCACTTGGTTCTCTGTAAATACTCATGACTTGAGTAAGTAAGGAATACTGCGATTTCAAGTAACGGTTATCTCTGTCTGTTGTCTTAGCTGTTTGTAGTAATCTGTTGTAGTAGGAGGAAGCATTTCAATTTAGATAATTGAGTAAATACATTGGAACAGCTCCTAAGTCAAAATGCTGCATGAATAAATTTTAGATGAATTAAAGGTTAAAGATTTAAATGTAACACAAACCAATTTATAATAAAACAATTAGAAGAAAATTACAAGGACCAATGCAGGATATTAGTTTAATAATATTGAATAGCAGAAGAGGTTCCTTGGCAAAACACAGACTATTCACACCATAATAGGAAATATTGGCAGAGTTGGTTGTATAAAAGTATTGAAAGCCTTTGATGATAAAAGACACCGTGAGTAGCTGGGTGTGGTGGCTTTTGCCTGTAATCAGAAACACTTGGGAGGCTGAGACCCAAGGATTGCAGGCTTGAAGCTAGCTAGCCTGGGCTTTAAAGGAACATGTTTCAAACAAAACAAACATCAACAACAGGGAAAACCCCCACCATAAATAAAGTTGTACATATTAATGAAAAAAAAAACCTCCTCAAAGAAAGGCAAAGAATCTACATGGGTCTTTCATAAAAGGAGAGATACACGTAGACAGTGGACAGGTGGAAAGATGTGCTCCATGAATAACTGGCACACTGTCTTTGTAGCTAGGGAAAAGTGGACATGATAATCTCCAGTATTGGCAGGGGCATAGACACATTACTTTCTCACTTAGTGGGTCTGTAGATTAGGCTCCCTTTAAGAGCCAAACACAGCAATATTTACTAAAATGTTATACTTTAACCCAGAAATCATATGTATGTAGATTTATCTGGTAGAAATTTGAGGACCAGTTCTTAAAAGAACTATATAGTCATCTTTAGCATAGCATTATTTCTGATAGCAAAAAATAAAAGTGTTTGATATACCAACCCAACAATTTCATTTTGGTACCTAAAATAAGTGAGTTGTCAGATGATATCTTTACTTCATTATTAATATTATTCTTAATAGCCAAGACATGGAAGCAGACTAGGTATTTGTCAGCAGATGAATGGATCAAAAAGACGGGCATATATACAAAAAGAATACTGCACAGCAGTAGCAAGAAGGTCATTCTTTCATTCATGATGATGTGGATAGAGCTAGAGGACCTTATCAAATGACGTCAGCTAGGAATAGAGTCACAGATATTGTATGATCTCACTTTTGTGTTAATCTTCTAGAAACCGAGTAGACAGGTGATTACCAGAGGCTGGGGCAGTGGGTGGTCGGTAGGGGTAGAAGAGGTAGAAAGGGGCCATGTTGACCAGAGGGCACAGCTTTCCGGTTGGACTCTTCTCAAGACCGAACACCATTTGAATGTGTAAGTGTCCTGACATTTTTTCCTTGTCCAATGATATTTTTTAAAATATAATAATAGTAATGATCCATGGTCATTATAGAGTGAAAGTAATCCAGAGAACGGTAGGAATAAAGTGAAAAATCACCTGACAACCTACTGCCAAGATTAAGATTAAAGAAAAAAAAATCCCATCTCATATTCAAAACCAAATCTATCATTTATTTCCTTATAATTTATTTCCCTTAAATTAAAAATACAGACATAGATAATGTAGAGGGCACATTTCTTTTGTTATGATATAATGGGTCTCTTCTCATGTCTATGATGAAATTATATGCTTTCATATTTGAATAGCTATGTAGTATATCATTATAGTAAAGAAGCCATAATTTACTTGTGATCATTTTTGTTTGTTTTTTTGATTTTTGTTTTTTGATACAGGGTTTCTCTGTGTAGATCTAGCTGACCTGTAACTCTGTACCTAACTCAAACTCACAGAGCTCTGCCTGCCTCTGCCTCCCAAGTTTTGGGATTAAAAGTGTGTGCACCACCGCCCGGGCTTAGTGAAATCATATTCTAATGGGGTTTTAGGTTTTGTTTTGTTTTGTTCTGTTTTTATGAGACAGGGTCTCATTATGTAGCCTTGCCTGATTGGCCTCAGACTCAAAGAGCTCCACCTGCCTCTGCCTCCTGAATGCTGGAGTTTTACTCTATTTTATCAGTAATATTTATATCAGTATTATTTATTCTATTTTATCAGTTTAATGAATGATTGGCAGCAGTAGGAGCTCTGTGCCTACATGGGAATATCCACACCAGCTCATGCTCCTATTATGTGACTGACCAGACAAATTGAAAACTTGAAAAGCAGACATGAACAGGGAATCTAGGAAGGAAAGAAAGCATTTGGGACTAATGTTTGGAATGGTTGATATCAGGCAAGACTTAGTCCCTCTTTTAAAGGACTTTTAAGTTTTTAAGCCCAGGCTACCCCAGCATATCTCCTTTTTAAAAGTCATATGACTATGAATTTTAATTGTATCAGTTAAATTCCTTTACAGCAACATCTATATTAGTATTAGAATAACCAAGTGAAGGTGTTTTTGTATGCTTCACAGTGGCTGTTGTCTTGTTTTGCATTCCTACTACTTTTTGTGTAATAGTCTGGCAGTCCGTATTAACTGAGAGCAGAAAGGGAATCTGGCAGGTCAGTTTGGTCAAGTGGTTGTGTCAAAGCCATTGAACGTTATATGATTTCTCTCTTTGCAGTGCTGCTTATGCTTGTGGTTTTTTGGGGGAGATAAATTTCTTAAAATGGAAGAAGAATTTGAATTACTTTTTTTTCACCCAAGTAATATGGGAAGAATAACAATTTATGACTTTAAATGAACAGTTTGGTTTTCTAGATTATAGGCTAGATTTGGAGTTTTGAAAGGATAAAAATGGTCCTGTATATTGAATTGTCTAAAAAACTTACATAGATTGTCTCTGTATTTTAAATTTTTATTGTTTTTTTTAATGGTAGCTTTACTAATACATAAGTTTCTGGTTTATGACCTTATTTTTAGTTAGTTGAGCATGAATATGTCCCTAGACATAAGTATCTTGAAAATAAGTGGGGTTAAGACAAGTATGTTTTGGTTGAGCATGTAGCTCAGTGGTAAGACTCTTACTTATCACGTGGGAGACCCTGGTTTTGATCCTTTGCATCACACAGACGTGCGCCCCCCCCCCCCCAAATAGGCATATTTTAAAAATGTTTTTATACTGATAATAAAGTATGCTTCCTTCTGGTTTTCCTCACATTAGTACCGGGCAATGTCAATTTATAAAGCACCAAGACAGGTTCTAGGGGGCTGAAATAAATGGAAAAATAGAGGCTAAAAGAACCTTAATATTGGTAGAGGTGGACTATAGCTCCAGGGAAGAACGTTTTCATATTCAGGGTCCTCTGTTTGATCTTCAGCACCACCAAAAAAGTGGGGTGGGTTTTGTTTATTTTTATTTTTTGGTGTGAAGGGGCAATGCTGTTGCTGTTCACAAGGCTATATTGAGCTCTCAGAGTATTTAATGATGAAAACTACAACAGAATTGAAGAAATGCATTCATTTAAAAAATGTATTAAGGACAATACATTCAATTATTTTGCTCTTGGAAATAAGATATTTTCTTAGTTGTTTTTAATGTGGTGTTCTGAAGATTTCCTAGTAGTATTGAGAAGGCACCAAGGAATTCTTGAGAAGTTATTGAACTGGCCGTTGCATTTCAGATAATCTTTTTTTTCTTTTTCATTATTAGTCATGGATAGATAGTATTATATTGTGGAACTTCTCATGTTAGTAGATGTGAAGTTGATGTTGAAGAGGCAGGTGGTGAAATCAAACAAACATAGGGTTATACTTCAGATGAAAGGCAATGTATAGTTGATTTGCAGGAGGATGGCCTATTATTTGATCTTACTGTATTAATGAATATATTGCAAACCAGATTATAAAAGGTGAGGTGCTTTGCTTCCTTTGAAAACTTTAATATGTTGCTATGGTTATTTTGAAAAACATGTTTACTGAAATAGTCCACAGTTGAGCAATAATGTCAATTTTAATTTACTTGTAAGTTCCATTACAATTTGATACTCTTAAATAGCATGTCCTCTCTCTGAGATGTGTATGGGATGGAACCCATTGCCTTTAGTATGTTAGTCAAATACTCTGCCACTCAGCTTTACCCACAGCTCCATAATTTTTAATGA